CCCCCCCCCCCCCCCCCAAGGTCAACACTCTGACTGGGCCGCCAGATTGAAACTAAAATTATCTAACTGGCCAAGCAACACTTTTGCAACTTATTGAACTTGACATAAAGACTAAATTTAGGCGACGCTCTGATATCTTTAACGTTCACAAAATATACATTCCACAACTATATAGCAGTTATAATGGTGATAAACCTCAGCAAAAGTTGGTAATCTAGACTTATAAGCTGATTTGGCAGGGAGAAAATTTGTTGGGTATCTAAATAAAAAAAAACTATATAGATGCACCCCTTACACACGTTTGCTGCTTAAGCCTACAGACCCGACTAGCCCTAAACACTAAAGTCAGCATAATATGAAATTCGAGACGTCTGCATTCAAATGATATACAATACTTTCGAATATCGCAAACAGAAATTTTATGATCGCAAATCTCTGGTGTTTTATCAAGTTCAATTAAAACGAAAAGCTCTATCTCTCCAAACCAGAAAGTATCCGAACCTAATCCGTTCAATTAGCATCATAGTTAAATATTTCTAGGGTATGCTCAAACGGAAAGTGCTCTGACACAAACCGGAACTACAAATGTATCAAAATAAAACCAGCATAAATACATGCGGAAATTATATATACATTGAAGGCAAACTGTTTGATAATTGCAGTATATTTATGGTATATACCATACATATCTAAATCGCTTATTCCTTGGACATTATTAATCGTGCATGCTTTGCGATAAATGGATTTTAGTTTAATATTGGCCACGCAATAGTACTACTATATACACATACGTCTGTAATAATCCTCAACATTTATCCTCTCGAATTGATATTCATGCTAAAGAAATGGATGTTCCAACTTATCACTCAAATGGTTAACCTACAATACTTATAATAATTATTAACCTACAATGGTTAACTTACAATATAAACCTATATTTAATGTATATCATTATATATATACAATGTACAATCTACAATGTACTAACAATAAAATCACACTGCCCTTACCGTAGCAAAGCATTAGAGTGACCAATATACGAACTTGGAGCATTTTTCATAGATGTCGTGTAAGATGCTCGAGTGTATTAAGAGTACTTGATAACAACCGCCGCGAATCTCTTTAGCATTAAGATTGCTTGTGCCAGTTGAACAAATGTAATATATTTATCCGCAGGAAGTCGAGAGGCCTTGGGAACGAGGATTGGTATATATTACTCAACCTCTTACCCAGGCTCTTTCTGAAGCGTGCTAGATCTGAATGCATTAGATATAGTGTTGCTAAGATCGTGAAATTCTTGGAAGCAATTGGGGTTTTCTGAGATCATTATTTTCCATTCCATTCGTCCATTTTCACTCGCCCCATATGAACATGTAAATTAAGTGGGGATGTGCGTTAACCATCCTTACTTGCAGTTGAGAGCCAAAATGAATTACGAAGCTAGGACGCAGCTCAACATGAATGCTTTCTAAGGGCGCCTCTGGCATCCACCTTACGACTGGTGTCTGATCACGGAGCACAGCAACGGTGGAAGGGTTAACACGAGTACCTGGAGAAAACCTACAACCTTCGGTAGAGCGTTGACTGACTCTTTTCACACGAATGTGAGGAGTCATGGGAATGGACCCGCGATTTCAGAGGTGCATGAAAGCGCTTGCTCTGACGATTGCGCCACCGAAGCTCCTTATCGAATCATGGAAATTTCTGCCATCGCGAAATCATGGAAATTTCTGCAAAGCACGGTATAGAATAACGCTCAACAGAAAATTGAAAATAATTATTTTTCCACATGCTTTGTCTTCCAGATAATCATGCATGTTTTGAGATTGCGCTCATGCTTCCTATCCAACTTGGATAGGAAGCATGAGCGCAATCTCACTAATCCAAGGGTCAAGACGGAGGAGCCTCTGATAATCATGGGCTAGTATTCCAAAGGTCGTAGGTTCGATTCCCACCTTGGACAGGCATATTTTTCAAGCTTGCCCGGTGTGGATATACACTCAGAGTAACATCACAAACATCATATTCACCTGAGTACATTACACCATCACAGAAAAATAATGATTACTAGATTACATTGATATCGAAGGAACTAGATTCTGTTCCGAAATATCACATACTCGAATCGACCTGACCGTGTAGCTCAATTGGCAGAGCATTGGGCTAGTATTCCAAAAATCGTAGGTTCGATTCCCACCTTGGACAGGCATATTTTTCAAGCTAGCCCGGTGTGGATATACACTCAGAGTAACATCACAAACAACATATTCACCAGAGTACATTACACCAACACAGAAAAAATCATGATTACTAGATTGCACTGATATCGAAGGAACTAGATTCTGTTCCGAAATATCACATACTCGAACCGACCTGACCGCGTAGCTCAGTTGGCAGAGCATTGGGCTAGTATTCCAAAGGTCGTAGGTTCGATTCCCACAGCGATCAGACATATTTTTCAAGCTTGCCCGGTGTGGACATACACTCAGAGTAACATCACAAACATCATGCAAAAGTTGCTCAAAGAACAATTAGCTTCTGCACGGTTGATTCGCTTTAAATTCCAAAATATATTTCCTTAAGTGTACCTTTCTTTATTTTGCTTTACACAGAACGGACAAAACATGCTATAGTACAGAAATTTAATGGACAGTTCTATTTTGGTTATAAGTGAAACACAAATAATGGTTGAACAGCTGAATACCCTGATATGCATAATATTCTAAATCTTCCCGTCTCAGCTACGACGGTAATTTATCCGACGCACAACGCGTCATTTAGATGCGCAGTGGAATTTTCGCCATGAATTATTGAGTTTAAATATTCTTCGTTTGTCTTCCTGGCAACAACACTCAATTTACTTAGCGATAAAAAAATACTGGAGACCGTCATATTCCTGAACATATATCATTCATGCCACATACTATGTTTGGACTGTGGCTACTGGCTGTAACATTGGTATTTTTTCAAGGTAGGTTTTTATCTACTCGTTCAGTTTTGTGTAGTTAAGTTTTTAAGGATTCTCTTTACATTTGCACTGACAAGGCTGATATAGTTTGAACATATCATAATATCATTCTATATTATTTATTAACTGATTCAGAGAGTGCATTCCTATATACTCTAACCAGAAAACAGACGTGACCTATTTGAAATTCGTGATGTCGCAAATACAACGGATATTGTAAAGCTTATACTGCGTTTTTGTTCCTTTTCCTAAATTTTGCGCATTCAAGAAGCTATATTGAGATTCAAATTGGTTCGTTGGTTTATGTTTTTCACTTTCGTAATCGAGAAGTTGGCGTCACAAAAACCACTGTTGATATAATTCATGAAATCTGTTACGCGTATTTCACTGTCTAATGCCTGATATGTTTTGTTAAAATTATTAACAATTTATATGTAGACATTCCGTCGTAGAATGGCATGGTTGTATTCTTACGTGTTTTTACTAAAATACTCAGCTGTATTATTGTTAAGGTTGAAACATAACTACGTTGAAACATAACTACGTAGAAATACGTTGAAACTTTTGAAATTCAAAGCAATTCTGATAAGATAATGAACGTAACGGCTGCGTTGAGAGGACGATTTGTATATAAAATACGTATAGTTTATTAAATTTAATCTTTAGACTATAACATTTTACTTTTTAATTAGAGTATATTAATACAAAGGAATGTTACAACATGCTGAGACAATCCTATAAGAACATAAGTTCCTAATTAAGTTCCACCAAAGAATTATACTATTACAATATTACATATACATATTACATATTACAAAAACACTTAATATTAATAATTAGTAACAAAAATATAGGAATTGCATTTATGAACAACAGTTTGGCTGTAAAGAACGACACTTACTAAACACAAAGTTTTCCAAGTTCTGGGACGGTTTACATCGAAAGTATTGTTACGTTTATTCGTATAATATAGATATAGTTTAGATTTAATGACCATGTAAAGTCCGTAATGTAAACAAACGCTTTGTTTACATTTTAAACTCAGTGCTACAGTGGTAAAATATGATTAGATATATATTATACTGAACTCTTCTGGTTCGCTATGCTTGTAAATGAATACAGACAAGGGATTGAATTCAAGAAAGTTCAAAAGATGCAAAATATTAATAACATTGCAACAGTCGGGTCCCGACCACTGGAATGTAAGCCTGCGCAAAACGTATGCGCAGACCGGACTTAACATGGTCTTTAAGTATAGAGACGGAAGATGATGATTTGATATCTGAAGGCACGTTATTCCATAAAAATACAATTCTGTAAAAGTAAGAGTTTCTGAAGAGAGTAGTTTTACACAGATTTGGACGAAGAAGATCACCAGAACTGGAACGGGATGATGGAGAGGCTGGGTAATAAACTGATTAATGTCAAGTTCGTACATCCCGGATTTGCATGTGTAGAAGAACATGATATCTTTAATTTCATGCCAGTATGACAGAGGGATTAGATTAAGTTTTTTCAAGCGATCAACGTAAGACGATTCATAGTCCTGAAGAATAAACTTTGTTAGTAACTCGACGTTGAATATCCTCGAGATGAAGCAGATCAGCAGACGATCCTTGAGGTGGCCAGAGTTCACAACCAAACGACAATTTAAGTCTGTAGAAGTTTGCAAACCAATTCATTCACCTTTGTAAGCGCTGGTTTGTTTCTGCTTTATTTCAATTGCTCTGGAATGTATATCTCTTGAACGTCAAACACATTTTGACAGGGGATGAGTTAGATATTGTATATCAAGTTTAACAAGTTTATACTGACAGTGTTGTTGTGTCCCCAATTAGTAGACTTATGTCGGCTATGTATTCTTGACACTAGAATAAAGTTTATATATGTATGTATGTATGTATGTATGTATGTATGTATGTATGTATGTATGTATGTATGTATGTATGTATGTATGTTTAACTGGTTAGCCCATAAAATATATAAGGTCATCGCTAGAAATCGCGGACATTTGGAATACAGTATGCATTCTCGCCCCAGTCCCCATGTTCACTCTTATTTTCAAATTTTATCAGGAATGTAGATGGTTATCCACTTTTAACATAAAATATCTTTTAAGAATCATACTAAATTAAAATTGTGCACTGTGGAAACAAAATTCCGTGAACTAATCAAGGAAATAAGAAAGAAAACTAAAACCAATAATAAAATATAATGATTATTTACGATACTTAAAACTGGGCAACAACGCAATTAAATGTGCGGCAGGATTTCTAACTAATTTATCAAAACGACAACAATCCACATTTTACAAAGTCAAATTACGGCTTAATGATCGATGAACTTAAAAATGTGCAGTAATATTTAAATAATATGCAGATATTAGTATCCGAAACAATTGTTCGCATATCTTAATCTGTGGTGTCAATGTGAATTTGCTTCATTCCAAGTTTGCATAAAATCGAAAGTTCGTTTATTATAGCCACGATCATCAGGTTCTAATGTCGCGGTTTGGCGACGATTTTTTAGGCAAAAATGACCCAAAATATATAATTCGAAAGCTCTTTTCTTCTGTTTTTTGTTTGTTTACATTTTGTAATCCTTTTAGTATGATTACATTTTGTAATAACCCTTTTTGTAATCCTTTAATAATGCTTTTAGTTATCAATTTAGAATAATAAATTTCGGGGATCGAAAGGGGTAATAAGGGACATAGACGTAAGGGATGTTTCGGGATTCAAATGTCCGAGATTTCTAGCGATGGTTTATGGCTAAGTTTACACTGAACCGGATATGTTTTTGCTTCGTTCGTGAAACGTTACGGCCCGCCTCCACCCTTCTATGACTTCGTCTTGAACATATTTACCAAAAGGAAAAAGAGTAACCAAGCTATACCCGTAAATATAATGTTAGAATAGCAAGCTATTTGTTTGCTGCACACCATCTCGAATCACGAATTGAACCCAAAGTTACTGCTATTGGTGTTTACATTACAAATGAGAGCGTTGCAAAAACAAATTCGACACAACACGCATGGGCGTACGGGAAGGAAAAAATTAGGGGGGCGGAAAGAAATTTGCCCGACTTTTTCGGATTGTGCCCGAGTTTTTCGGAGAAACTTTCCAAAATTGTTGTCGACGGGGGGGAGGAGTGATTACCAAAAATTCCTATTAGATAGCATATTTCCCACAAAATTGACAGAATTTCCCACAAAATTGACAGAATTTGTCCCATTTACTTTTATAATAAGCCAATATTGCCCGACTTTAAAGCGAATATTGCACGACTGACTTTGTTTGCCCAACAAACTGGGGGGGGGGGGGCTGCCGCCCCCCTCGCCCTCCCGCCCGGTACGCCCATGACAACACGCATCACTTGGAAGAGCGGAGCGCCGCGCAGGCGCTTCGATGCAGAAATTGATTCGATTACATCATTTCATATGTCCATCATTTCAAACCTTATCCGGTACGGTTTTTGCTACGCAAGCTAACCGGTACAGCGTAAACGATTACGATTAGCATTTCTATAGCGCAAATTTACACGTGGATATGATCAAATGGGCTTTACATCAAGTATTGCTCACACTAAGCCTAGACTATTCTATCTTTACAACAATGGACCATTCCCCAATTAACCAAAATTTTGAACTCAACAAGTCTAGACAAAAATTTCATCACAGCTTGAAAGAGCATCACAAAATTAGTAATATTCCAAAGTTTCGTTGCGAAATGTTGTAAAATGCGGAAAATATACCCTTGCGAAGTTTGCAATTTTCAGTCATTTTAGATTACAAACGGGAAATTGATACCCAAACACCCGATTTGTAGTTTTATACCGATGATAGGAAAACAATCATGTGATTCGTTGCCTCAAATCATCCCTTCGACTAGTTGTAATATCACAATTAAGTCTTCTAAATTTATAAACTTTAATAATCATTTGAAGACAAGAGATGCGGCAATCCAAATATTCGCTGACTCTGCGGAAAACAGACAATGCAATGTTTCTATTTTCAACTCTAGGTTCGAAAACACGACCAAAGCATTTACTGGCAAGATTACCCTCTGTTCTGTTAAGCTTTACTATATTACGTTCCAATCTACACATCGTATGCTTGGATCAGGAAGTCTGATAGATATTTTCGGTGGTTCATACCATTTCTTGTCATGTCATTTTTTTCAAAATGTCCCTGAGCAAAATCCAAATTATGCACAGATTCACACTGGAAACTCGACTAAAGTAACGTTCGAAAATTGTTCGTACGAAATTTATCCAATTGCAGAAACTAGTCGCAATGGCAACTCGTTGAACAGCAACATGTTCTACGTTCTATCGTACGACTCAAACACAATTACGTTTCAAGGAGTAAGTCTTGTTGTAAAGGATACTTTACAATGCTTTGTCCCCCAGGTTACAAGATGAATTTAAACGCCAAGTGTCATACTGTAATTCTGCACGTATAGCAGTATGTTATATGTTATTTACTGCATATATGTTATTTACTGCGTATATGTTATTTAAGGCGATCCCACATTCACTCAGTCCAGCGTGTAGCACGAAAGAAAATGATAATTTCTCAGCACATGCTTTGTCGTCTACACCCAGAAGTAGGAAGTCATGTTTAGTAATTTCATTTATGCCTCCTCGCTCCTTTAAATGTAAAATATTGTTCCTTTGTTTACCGGGCAACAACAATGATAATAATCCTGTCTCACTTCATTTGTCCATAGATAGATAGTGGAAACCCGTCATTTCTCAACATTCATCATGTCATATTACACTATGTTTAAACTATGGCTATTCACTGTAGTGTTGCTGTTTTTCCAAGGTAGGTTTCAATATATCCGTTCAGTATCGTGTGGTTAAGTATTCGACGATTTCTATTTACATTTACAGACCTGATATAGTTTTTGTAGTTCATGTTATCATTCAATATATACTTTACTAATATTTAGAGTATTACTAACGACCCAAGCCCCGTTGCATGTCAAACATCCCAGAGAATAAGTTCAATACACACCATAGTGTTATGAGAGAATGCATGTTCAAGGCATCGCCTAAAGTTTTAATGTCAAGTTGAATAAGTTGCTAAAGCGCTGCTCGATTGGTTAGATCATAGAATAAGGTGTTGAAGTCGTAGCCTTTACGTTAAAGTCGTCTCCTTTGTCCCCCTTGGCATGTTAAACATCCCGGAGAATAAGTTGAACATACACTATATTATTCAACCTCGTACACAGGCTCTTTCCTCTACTCTCCTTACTATGAGGTTGCATATTATTACGAGAGAATGGGATCAGGATGAATCATGTCATACGTGTTTACACTACGAGCCTAAGCCTGGCTTGGGCCTACCTCTGGACTAGATTTTTGTAGTGTAAACGCACTTCGGTCTGGTCTAGGCCAGGAAATCTGGGCCCATCAGAACACGTGGCCTAGATTTCCTGGCCTAGGCCAACTCGAAGTGCGTTTACACTACAAAAATCTAGTTCAAAGCTAGGCCTAGGCCAGGCTTAGGCTCGTAGTGTAAACACGGCTCAATGCATCGTTTAAAGCTTTTATGTCAAGTTCATCAAGTTGCTAAAGCGCAGCTCGACTGGTTAGACCATAGAATATATAAGGTGTTTAAGTCGCAGCCTTTACGCGGTTCCGGTGTATCCTTTACTTTAACCTCGACAGACTAAAATAAAGCAAGCTAAATAAAGTATTGTTTTTAAGGTATTCAACACGTATCATTAAAGAATGTGTTCGTCAGTCACCGTGGACAAGATGAAGATAATTGTGGCAACTGGACAATGCCATGTCGTAGTGTGAGACATGCTGTCAATATTTCCAGTGCTAATGACGTCATACATATTGATTACGCTGAGGGAAGACCTTATAAAGAATGTGAACATCCAATTGGAGGAAACCAAGCGATTATGCTGGATAAATCACTATCGTTTTACGGCTTTAATGGAAGTACGATATTACATTGTGAACAAACATACCCATTTTTTGAGATAAATAGTCAAAACCTCAAAAATTGTTCAGCCCCAAAAATTGTATTTTCGAACCTTTCACTGGCTAGTCGTGGAACGTTGTTTTACGCTTTCTATGCCATTTCTAGTACGTTTGAACTGGAATTTAATTTCTGCGACATAGAGAGGTCTTTGCATTTTGTCGAGGCTACATCCTTATCTTGCTCGATTCAAGTGTTCAATTCCAACATTCGAAGTTCTCGTGATCCGATATACATGTTATGTGGTAACCTAACGGCCCGTCTGATTGGATCAACATTTTTCTCATGTTCAACTTATCTGATTTCTAATTCTAATTACTTTTCAAACCAAGTTAGCTTACTTCCTTATGAGACAGTATTGAACGTTCATATCTATAACTGCAGTTTTATACCGATGGGAGGAAAACAATCGTGTACATGGTTTCTTTCGATCGTTCCTTCGACTGGTACTGGTAACATCACAATTAAGTCTTCCATATTTTTGAACTTTAATAATCATGTGAAAATACTACGATTTGCGGCACTCTCAATACACAGTGGCTCTCCGCTCTTATTGTCAACAAACATAGTTTTAGATAAATTACATTTTGAAAACATTAACTCAGGCCCGGTGGTTCATTTACAAGTGGAAACCAAACAATGCCATGTCTCAATTTTTAACTCTATGTTCGTAAACACTACCACAGCACTTGTCTGCAAGATTAATATCTGCACTGCTAAACTTTACAATGTTACGTTTAACTCGACACATAGTATGCTTGGATCAGGAGGTATGATCAGTCTCCTCGGTCGTGTATACCATTTGTCGTCATGCCATTTTTTTCAAAATGTTCCTGTGCAAAATCCTAGCTATCCACTTATTCGCACTGACGGTTCAACAAAAGTAACGTTCGAAAACTGTTCGTACGAAATTTACCCTGCTGTAAAAACTAGTCGCAATGGTAACGTGTTGAGCAGCAACATGTTCTACTTTCTATCGTACGATGCAACCGCAATTAATGATAAAGGAGTAAGTCTTTTTGTGAAAGGGTACTTTACAATGCTTTGTCCTCCAGGTTATAGAATGAATTTAAACGTCCAGTGTTATAATTCAGCAGATGTACCAGTATTTTATAGGTTATTTACTGCGTCTTGTGAGCAATGTCCGCGAAAAACATACTCTTTCCACAGAGGAGAAGTTCAAAATCACAGGTCCAACCACATAACTTGCCATGAATGCCCTGTAGGTGGGAAATGTGTCGAAGGCAAAGTGACGTCTAAACCTAATTTCTGGGGATACAAGTCAAACGAGAAAGTGGAGTTTCTACAATGTCCTCCAAAATACTGCTGCGATACTGATCACTGTGAAAACTACAACAGTTGCCATGGTAACAGAATGGGTACCCTGTGTGGTGAATGTCCAAGTGGAATGTCGGAATCCTTATTTGACACGAAATGTAAGCCAAACAAAGACTGCACAAGTGTTACGTTTTGGCCAGCGATCTCAGCTTACTTAACTCTTTATCTCTTATTTTTCTTATACCATGGAGATATCGTCAATTTTCTACGGAAACGTTTTATTCCATTGTTGTTACCATCCGGAAACGGTCGAGATTCCAAATCCGGGGGCCTCCTAAAAATAATATTCTATTATTATCAGATTATTCACTTGTTAAGAAATACTGTTCGCTCAGATGCAAAAGTTAAACTGTTAGATGATATAGAAACTTTTTTGTTCAAATCATTTAATTTTCTTATCATTGGTATTCCTTCCATTGATTGTCCATTCCAAGATCTTCGTCCTGTGCAAAAGACGGTCATTGTTCATTCTGTAGGATATAGTTTGTTAACACTCCTTTGTCTATTGTACCTTTCTACATTTGTATTCAAAGTAGTTAAGAAACTGAGGGCTAGATCCACTCAGGAGATGGTCGCACTTACCGAAGCAATGCATCATAGTCCTAACCTGGAAGATAATCCTTTTCTTGGTCGTACTGCAGGGGCCTTTGCTTGCATTTCGCTTTTGATGTACGCTTCTTCGACACAACTCTGTCTTTCCCTTCTCCACTGTGTTCCAGTTCGTGACAACAAAGTTTTATTTCTTGATGGTAATATTCAATGTTACCAAACATTTCAATATTTTCTTCTTGCTTATATGATTTCGTCCATACTTCCATTTTGTCTTGTTCCTGTTCTCGGTTCGTATCTTTTAAAGTTTGGTCCAATTGGTGTTAAGCAATTTTGTGCGGCTTGTGTCTTCCCTTTGCCATTTTGTTGTTTTTGGATGTATTTGTTGCTTAAGTACTGTCGTTGTGGAAATCAAGGATCGTATAACACAATAGAAAATGATGATGCAGTAAGATCTGAACAAGATAATGACGAAACACAAAGCCTTGGTAGTGAGAATACCTTCACCTCCTCCACTGATAGGAATGAAACCACTTCTACGAGATGTGAGTCAGCTGTTTGCACTGATAGCAATAAAGCCCCTTCCACGAAAAGTGAATCAGCCATTCGCAGTGTGTTGTTGGGTCCATTTAGACCTCACCAAGCTTTTCTGTGTTTTCCTTCTTCACATATTCCTTGGGAAGGTTTTCTCATCTTTCGTAGATTGGTCTTGATTATAGTGTTGACTTTCGTCTACGACATTCAACTCAGACTTTTTGCAGCTTTAATATTGTGCGTTGCCATTCTAATCTGCCACACCATTGTGTATCCTTTTCAGAGAAAACGCGACAATGTTCTGGAATCTTTTTCTCTAGGCACACACGTGGTCCTGTGTGGTTCAACTCTAATAAAAGCTCTTCATTACGGTGAAGATTATTCTTCTTTTTCAAAAACTTTGCCTGTGTTGAATGTGATTGAAAGTATTCTTATTGTCGCTCCATTGTCTATCATTATGATCGTTGTTATCTTTTCTCTTGCTATAAAGTTGGTATTTGGTTTAAAGCTCTGTGTATCAGTGTTGATTCGAAAGGTTAGGGGGATTTTAAGGTTTACTTAGTAATCATTTTATAATGAAATATTTTAAACATTAGTTTACGAATTGTAGCTAAAATAGTGAGTTGAACTATTGAATGTAGTACCATAAATTTATGTTAGGTCGGACAACATTAAGATTAGTATAACTATATACTGATGTAGTTGATATTATCATACCAAACTTGTGAATGTTAAAATGTAAATATAATGATTTTTCAATATTTTGTGTTGTTATTTTATGGATCTTACCGTCTTTTGTGCTTTAATCTTCCAACCAGAAGTCCTTGCTATATACCATAAACCTCCGAATACAAGCCCACCCGAATATAAGCCCACCCGTGTAGTTGCTCCAGTGTCCATCATTACGATCGTTATTTTCTTTTGCTATAAAGCTGGTATTTGGTTTATAGCTCTGTTTGTCAGTCTTAAGTCGAAAGGTCAGGAGTCTTGTAAGATTTACTTTGAAATTTCTTATTAAATATTTTAAACATTAATCTATAAACTGTCGTGAAAACATTGAGTTGAATTATTGAACACAGTTCACTTGTATAATTTAAAATAATATCCTTACATATGTTTTATGGCATGCAATTATTTTAATCGTACAACCGACTATGAAGGTGATCTACTACTTGTTTATTTTACCATATTAGACCTCAAATTCAAATTGTCCTATCAAAAAACAGCATTTGTACCACGTGACAATGTGATTTTTTACGGTATTTCACTCAAAATCATGATTTCGCAATGCAGCGCGAGATATTATAATATTTCACGGTAGATCTGCCATGGGATATTATAGTTCGTGAGCTGTTGTTTGCAATTCCGTATAAAAGATTTATTGATTTAACTGAAGATTTTCACGAGGTATGTTACCTTCAATGATTCAAAGGATACTAGACCGCGTGTAGGCCCACCGAGGGAAGAAATGGAATAGTGGGCCTGCAAGGAAGACTGGGTATTTTGTATTTGTCGCGTTCGTACACGAACGCAGCATTCTGATTGGCTGTTTGCTGTTGGATTCTATAATTAGATCAATTATTCATCACAAAGACTCTCGATAAGCTTAAAATTGGATTGATCACTTATTTCTATTATAAATGGAACAAGAACAGACTATTTATTGTTCACTTGAAGGAAGGGATGTTTTTGCCGTTATGCCATCGGGGATTGCTTGTCGTGAAGTGTTGGAATTGCAACATTACCACTGGGGTAAACTATAGTGACCTTTACTCGAGTTTCATTAATTTGAAACAGATTTGATACGTTTATATCTTCCTCAAGAGAATTATCTTTTGGTGAATGTTGACTCTGGCTTGTATTGAAGAAAGCAGCGCTTTTCGATGTGAAGATTTAGAGGCAGTTGCATGTAAGCCTATTCGAAACACTTTGCGAATTGCAGGGCTTCTCTGAGACGGCGAAATAGAAGACGGTAATTGCCGTTTGAAACGAGCTGGACTCTGAACGCTCTCTTCTTTTGTCGAGTTCTTTATCAAATTAAATAACGGAAATAAATTTCGTACTTCCGCCCACAAAAATTGCACACACGATCTGATAAGTGAGACAATTCATTTATAAAAATGGCGATAGGAGCACACATTAATGCTAATGTGGTCGCACGACTTCCCTCACGATTTGAAGTTTGAAACAGGTTTTCTGTTGAAATTCGTCCTAATTCGCCTGTTCCGAACTTAGTTGAAAACGAGCACTTGCAAATTTGGCAATCATTTGAAGCGGACTGGTTTGCTGGCTTTTTCGGAGTTAAACGCAGCCATTTGGCCTAAATTTTAAACTAAACTTGCACTGATATATAGCAGCTAGGTTTTAGAAATGAAGTGATCTATTGTTAAAATATTTTCTTATAATAATAATAATAGTCCAGAGTCATAAAGTGCTTAAAACGCAATACCTTGAATCATGCTAATATTAAAGATGCAACAGAGTGATACAAACAATGTAACTAGATTCAAAGTCCTTGCAAACTATGGAAGCAGGAAATTTGAAACAAATTTTTTTAAAATGTTTATTACGATACTGGTAGCCGCGAAGTTGAGCTGGAACAAACTCAAGACTCAAAGTGCATTATCGATCTTTAAAGTTCATCTGACCATTTTTTATGATTGCATTGTAACGAAAGTTCAAAATGACCAAATAAGATCAAACTTTCTTAGCTTTCTTTCTTTCTTTCTTTCTTTCATTCTTTCATTCTTTCTTTCTTTCTTTCTTGAGATACCTAACACTTTTTGATATGCAAATTATCATATTGCATAATGAAGCATTGGAAATATTTATTGACGTTCAATAAATATTTACATGCTTGTTTTTCCTTCTTGACTTAAATAGTCCTAGCGTAACATTCATCATTTATAGACTTGCATGGAGCAGGGGGGATTCAGCGAAATATTACCCTCAGCGATGATATTTCCCGAGGGGCTTCGCCTCCAAGGAAAATATTATCACTGAGGGTAACATTTCACCGATCCCCCAAGCAGTGGGTCTATAAATGATATATTATACCAAAAATTAAAAGCCTGCAAGTTGAGAATATAAAACTTATATTTGTCACTTTTATTTCGAATCACATATCGTTTAAAATATTGATGATATTATTTTTCAAAATTTGCTTCAAAATTTTTAAGCTTTCTTTGAAGTTCGAAAACTTCATAATTCATCACTCCTTAGTATATTTTGTCGGCCATCTTGTCTGCGTGATCGCCTCGCGTGGTTTACGCGAATAATATCAACCGGGTGATATGATCAAATCACCCCATGTGATGATTGAAATCACCCGCTTCGTGAAATACGATGACGTAAGGCGTGATTCGATGACAATTTCATGCTCACGTGGAACAAATTTAGCTTTTTGATTGGACACTATGAATTTGAGGTATAATATTATGTTATAATACATATATAGTCGATCAGATTAGTGACGTGAAATAAGGAACTACAGTGAAGCATGCGACATAAGGGAAAGCGTAGGGCTCTGATTCACACGAGACCGGATAAATTGGAAGCCGTGTGCTTGAAATTCGTCCGTTTCCGGGCGTCCCATTTGAACGTGTAAAGCGAAATCGCGGAAATTTCTGTACGTTCCGGGTTCACTCAGTCAAGCGTGTTGCACGAAAGAAAAAGAAAACGATTATTTCTCAGGAAATTATGTTTAGTAATTTCATTTATGCATCATCGCTCCTTTTAAGTAAATGTAAAATATTGTTCCTTTGTTTACTGGCCAACAACAATGATAGTAATCCTGTCTCACTTCATTTGTCTATAGATAAATAGTGCAGGAAACCGTCATTTCATGTCATATTACACTATGTTTAAACTATGGCCATTGACTGTAGTATTGCTGTTTTTCCAAGGTAGGTTTCAATATATACGTTCAGTATCGTGTGGTTAAGTATTCGAGGATTTCTATTTACATTTTCAGGTTTGATATTGTTTTTGAAGTTCATGTTATCATTCAATATACTTTACCAATATTTAGAGTATTACTAACGATCCAAGTCCCATTGCATGTCGAACACCCCAGAGAATAAATTCAACACACACCATATTATTATGAGAGAATGCATGGGATCAGGGTGAATCATGTAACATGTCCAAGGCATCGCTTAAAGCTTTAATGTCAGGTTCAACAAGTTTGCTAAAGCGCTACTCGACTGGTTAGATCATAGAATAAGGTGTTTAAGTCGTAGCCTTTACGTTAAAGTCATGTCATTTGTCCCCAGTTGCATGTCAAACGTCCCGAAGAATAAGTTAATCAAATATCGTGGGCGCATGGTTATGATCCAAGGGTGGAACTCCTCACTGATCTCAAAAATACGGCTGTTTGCCAGGAGTGGGATAAGCACACTGAGGATATTAAAGCAAGTTAAAAGCAATAATCTTTCGACCATTTTTGCCGTGTTGTACAAAAGTATAATAAAAATTAAAATTATCGTAAACAACGTAAATTGACTAAACGCGAGCCTGCGTTCAGTGTTGATCAATTACTAATACTTCATGTTAAATCAATGTTTGGAAAATATAGGCGATGCATGTATTTCCACTTTCTAGTACTATGTGTAAACTATGCCTACTGATTGTAATATTGCGATCTTTCCATGGTAGGTTTTCATGCATGCGTTCGTTTACCGTTTACCATTTAGCATTCAATAGTCAATATTGCGAGGATTTCTAATAAGATGTACAAGGACTAATATAGTCTTTGATTTTTTTTTCATATTGTTATTCTACATCCGAGCGTGTATATCTTTGAAGTAAACGTTTCAATCATTCAAAATTTTAGCCATTCAAGATGTTATGACTAATTCACTGTTTGTCAGCCACCATGGAGATGATCTCAATAATTGTGGTAACTGGACTATGCCTTGTCGTACTGTGCGACATGCAGTGAAGATGTCTAATGATGGAGATCAAATTTATATTGATTATGCACAAGGAAGACCTTATATGGAATGCGAAAATTTAACCCAATCAACATGCTCTATCGAGTTAACAAAATCTGTTTCATTTCATGGTATCAATGGAAAAGCTAAAATTCAATGTAGGAAATGTTACAAAATTTTTAACATAACGAGCTCAAGTTTTAAAATAACGCGAATCAAATTCCTGAATTTGGCTATATCAAATTCAAATACCGTTGCTGAACTTGATGTAGGGGCCAAGGCGGAATTAGTATTCCAAAATATGTTGATAAGGGATAACTCTTATGCTATATACAGCAAGAATTCGATTGATTGTTCGATTAAGATATTTAACTCAAGTTTTGAACATAATTTCAACCCGACATGGGGAATTTATCTGCGATGTGTCAATCTCACTGTACATATAAACTCTAGTTCCTTTAGAATAACTCCTTTACTCTTCACAAACATTGCCAATAAACCAACACGGTGGAAAAAAACAGAGATCTTAATACAAAATACGATATTTAATGGTAAAAAGATTAAAAAATGTGCTTCAATGCTCACGATAATGCCGTTTGCAGCTATATTTAATGTCACAATAAGCGACTCCGAGTTTAAAAATCATTTTGCAAACTGCAGTTCCGGACAAGAGGATCGTCTTTCTACGTTGCAAATATATGAAGATAGAGAAAATGTCCGTGATATAACATTAATATATTTTAGCAATCTAATATTCGAAAATAACTACAACAACTGGGCTACACTTTTACTAAGCGCAGGATATCTGGAATACACTGAAGTAAATGTTTTGATACGAGACAGTATTTTCAGGAATAATTCGATTGCACTTCGAGTTTATAGCCGTTATTTGGGTGGATCCAATTCCCCAGCGAAGTGGCC